CACATGAGATAATTTGGTTAGGTCACTGCTCTTAGGACGAAAAGCTCTGAGAACGCTTTATCCAAACAATCTCCAGAGAAAATTAGTCCTGATCTGTCTATTTAAAAAAGTATTTAAAACTTCACTATGCAAAAGAAATCCTGACCTCAGACATTCATATACGCTCTGCTATCACTAATCACAATGCAAACTTCAGTATCTCAATTTTTAAACACAAAGACGCCCGACTTGAATTAGTCAGTAACTAAATAACTGACAAAGGTTTGGGGAAATAGCTGTCCTAGGCAAAAGTCTACTACAGTCACACAAATATCCATCTAAATGACATCGCTATCTAAATGCCATCTCTATAGTAACCAAAAAAGATAAATTACTATTATGCCTGCATAATCTGTTAAGTTATTCCTGGCACTTACTTATTACTAATTAATTATTAGTTAATATTATTAACATAAAGTATATAAAGTAATATAACAGAAATCATTATAGATTGAAAATCACAATTTCACTTTTACAAGTAGCTCCAAAACTAAATAAAGTAGATAATCACAGTCTAGAGACTAGGTAACTAATACAATAAAGCAAATATAAATTTATAAAATATCTTTTATGAAGACATTACCATATTTCTTTTTTTAACTGGTATTTTTAATTGCCATTTATTCCTGCTCGCGAGTCTAGTATACCATCTCCACATAGTGCAGCACGGGAGGTCTGATACCAACGCTCAGCAGAAAGACAGACACTTACAAGATCAGACTTGAAAAAATTAATGATGTGGCATTGCTGTAAGATCAATTTTATCACCTTATGATATCACAAAAAAACTAATTTCACATCAAAACAAATGCAAATCACAGAAATTTCCCACCTGCTTTAAGGCACTTTTCTAATGCTGCTTCACTACGTGGGCTGGTAAGGTTAAAGCGACACGAGCCCCGCTAGCGTGAACGCAGAACGCCGTGGTACGCACGCAGTAGCGCAAGAACTGCTTTTAGTAGCACAGCTTACTTCAGTTCAGCCAACTAAAGTAAGTTATATCTACCTGAAGTGCCTTACTTTGTTACATCGGATGCCACCCCGTGGCACCCTGATGTTTCACCTTTCCTAGTAACAAAAAAATATCAACATCCATACTAACGTACCACTCTGAGCAGAACGCAACCAGGGTAAGTCTGCGTTCTGCCAGGAAAACAAAGTAGAGTAACTGTTTTTGGCGTTTTGAATTTTCAGTGCTTAGGATGGGGATATCAACGTACCCTTTAAATACACATTACGGACAGTAATAGGCTCTGCACAGAACAGGGTCTCTAGGAAGCGTGAGGACATGAAAGGTGGTTCTTTGCCTTCAACAAAGAACTAGCCCACAGAATCAGCTGGAAACTTCAGGGCAGGCAGAATGGCAGAAGGCATTGGAAACAGAGTCCCAAAATTGATTGCCAACAGATGTTAGCAATAGGAAAAAAAAAAAAAAAAAGTCCGTAAAGTAATAGGAGGTTTACTTTGTTAGAGTCTCAACATATCTTAAAGGCAGGGTAACTAACAAAATTGCCAAAAGTTTATTAAAAAAATAACTGATTTCTTTTTCTGAAATGTCCATACAGCAGTGGTTTCTTGGTCACGCTGCAGTAAACTCTGAACTACACAAAAGTATACAATGACTATTTTCTTTAGTGTGTGATTTGTTTCCATTTAGTCAACCAAACGTTACTCTAGTAGCAAAATCATCTAGACTGAGCTAGAACAGGGAATAGCAGCTAACATGTAACACTAACTTTTCTTTCTGCTTAAAATTTAAAATTCAGATCGCTTGCTGAAGTTACGTTTGCTACGCATATAACTACCAAACTAACACAAATGGTGTAGAGCTACAGAAACCAAGAAAAAGGACCACGGTTTTAAAGAAACTGATAATTACAAAAGACCCGAACTTCATGTACTTGGCACTGCAAAAATACTGCTCTGAATGTGTTCAGATTGATCGTGAATTTGAAGTCTGTAATAGGCTCAGTGACAGAAAAAGCAAACTACCTACATTTTAAGCAGTCTGACAAATCAAAGAAGGAATTTTCTCAACCGTGTGTGTTTACAGTATCAGCCACACACAAATGGGTCCATATAACCAGTTTAGCCAAAGCAGTACCTCAATTGAAAAATTACATATCAGCATGCGAGGGCTACCGGAACAATACAGTAGTGCCATGCAGCCTGTAGACTGAAGGAACTGGTTACAACGCTCTT